TATTTCATTTGAACTAGTATGTAATAACACATATCTGTTAAATATTTAAAAAGGCAGTACTTAACATTATTTTTATTATACATGTTAAACATTTCATTAACATCACTAATATAATAATAATGTAATTTTCAAAATCTGACTTATGTAGCTTGTAAAAAATTGATTGAAGAGTCCTTGTAAAAATAGTAGATTTCACTTTATTCAAGTCTCGGCTAAATAACATGTATAAATAAATACAAGGCGATTCTTCATGAAAAAATAAAAAAAATATATACTATAATATTTTTTCAGCCAAAAAATTGAATTTGAAAATCCACTACGTATTTACCTATGTTAAAGTTCCAGAAGGATTTTCCGTGCAACATATAATACCTAATCTGTCTGTAAACATTAGTTATACGATATTTCAGTATTATTAGATTTAATAAAGAATAAAATGATACTTCATCAGCAACATTTCGATGAACTGTTTGCTGTTGTAGAAATTTTAGCCAGCGTGTTCTTAATCAAAGAGGAACGAACGGATACAAAGAGGTGTAAACAGTCTTCCACAATGCATTTTTGTAATTAATAGTAGAATATTCTTGATAAAATATATCTTTTATCTTTCTTGTATTTAGTAACACTTAAATATCATGTTCATGTTTACAAACAGGGAATATATCACAGAATAAATCATCATACACATATATTTGTAATAATGTAGATATAAAACTATACATTTTTCAGTAGTCATTATTAAATTGGGAGAATAATAATTCTTCAAGAACATATATGGATGTTTTTAAGTCGTAATAATATGCATCTTTTTCATCGTACGTGGGTGCGTTATATAAAATATTTGTAGGATCTAATTGTTCTACGTATTGTAGTAATTCAGATATAGATTTTTTATTCATGACTAATTTAATTCTGTCGAATGTAACGTGCATATATGTACTTTGTTAGTGAATGCATGTACTGTGGAGCCACTTGTCCTGGTTAAAAATATGCTTTAAGGGGGCCGTGAGAAATTTCTGTAGGTGTAGCTCGATTTTGGTTCTTTTATGGTGTGGTCCGGGTTGTTAAATATATTTGCGTGTTTCGTACTTGTTGCTAGGCTAGCGAGTACTATCCGCCTTAACATTTTTTTCTTTTTTCTTTGTTTTTGACTATTGCCGTTCCGGGAATAATGCTTGCTATTCCTTTTGAACTGTATATTGACGACGATAATAAAGACGACACACTGATCGGCGTGCCTGCGGGTCGCCGGTTTCACCGCTCCCTGCCGATCCCGCGGGATCTTTAGGTAGATCGAGCAGCTTGAGGCCCGTGAGAAACGCGGGGACGATAGTACTGCGTGAGGTACGTGTGACACGTCGATTAGTTATTTGGTAATTTGTCGAAATACGGGACGGTGCTTCAGCGTTAATCTCTTTTCGTATCTTCGAACTTAATCGACTCAAATATCCTCTACAAGACAAATGGCATTCGAGGCATTATACGACTCGATCCGCGAAGTCTTAAGTACATAGTCCGGGTCTGATTTCATCCGTTTAAAGGCCTCGTTGATTGTCTTGATTGACCTCCTATACAATGGATCCGCATTCGAGCAGATCACGAATAGACTCCTGTGTGTCGCGGTTTTTCACCAATTGTTTTTCGTCATGTGTTTTATCTCTTTGAAAGGAAAGATTTCGATTTTGATTGCATGCTATCCAGTGCCAATGCCCGAATTGATAGTAATCGGGCGTCCGTCACTGTTTAGTGAGATACACTGAGATATTTTCCCAGTGTTCGAGGTTAAAATTGCTAGATCCAGTAAGTTTTTGACGTAGTCTTCGTCTTCCAGATCTTCCTCGTCCGATTTCTTCTGTTTCATAGTAGTTTCTAATGGCTGTACATCTGCAGGTATTGTGATTGTATGGCACAGTCGTAGACGATGTGGGTATGTTCTCCATGTTTGCTAATGAAGATGATAGTTCCGATAAAGCGTGCTCGTATAAATCGAGAAATTGCTGACTTTTCTTGATTTTAATAACATGGTAAATGATTTTTCGCTTGAGATTCTTTTCTCAAAGTCCAGCCATGAGTATTTGTTGAAATTGTGATCTTTTGAGTATAGTGTTTTGCAAACAGTTCGAAGAGCTTCTTGTGTTTGTATCCATAGTCGTTTTTTCTGTATGTTTCATTTTTTAATAAAAGTGCTGATAAGAGTTTCAAGGGTAATGAAATTAAAGCAGAAGTAATTGTGGATTGTTCACTTCTTTTGGTGTTAGGTGGTGTGTCAAATTTGATAATCTGCGCGTCAGAAAATTCAGTAGTATTTTCTTGTTTTTCGTCGTCACTGGACAATTCAACGCACCAATTTGCATTAGAATATGCATTATGTTGTTTGAGGCGTCTAATTTTGCGTTACATGTTGGTCTGTTTGGTGGATAAAGGTTTTCCAGAGTGAATAGTGTGATAAAGTTTTTTTATATTTTTCAAAGTTTTTTTAATAATTGTATTTCTTCTAATAAGAATGTATTTGTGTTATTGTATTTTTTCATATCTGAACGATTCTATTGTTGCATTAGAATGTTGAAGACTGAATATAAAGCTAAAAACAGAGAACATTTTATACCTGTAATCGCTGTCGTTGCTGCCACCTCCTTCACGACAGTTGAGATTTTAATTGAAAATATGCGCGCGCAAAGCGTATATATATATGATTATAACACAATGTGTAAATAAACAATGGATTTTCAAACTTAATTTTCTTAAAAATTTATCATTGGATGATAACATTTTTTTTTATTTTTTCATAAGAAGTTACCCTCACACTCACTTGTATGTTATTCAGCTGATTCCGTATAATTTCAGTTTCTGTTTCTAGAGATACTATTAGTAAGGAATAATAATATTGATAATGACGATGATAACGATGATTACAATGATAACGTTAATAATGATGATGATGATGATGATGATGATGATGATAATCATAAGAATAATATATTCATTTATTAGAGCATTAGACTTGTGTAATTAAGTTCATCAAATTATATCAAATGATATTAATTTTAATACAACAATTATATTTGTATTATACTAAATGATAAGTAGTCATTTTGCTACACATACATAAAGGTATATTACAAATGTAAAATTGTATATCATCAGTAAGAAAGCATTGTAAAGGTCTGGACCAATGTAATATTTAACATGTAGTAATTATTATAATATTTAATAATATATACTAGACATTATCAAAACAAGAAAAAAGTCTTAACATTGGCTTAAAAATCATTAGTTCTGAAATTACAAAATATTTTTACTGTAAGTTTGTAATAGAATAACAGATTCAATTCCATATTTATCTAAATCTATCTAAATATTATTAAAATATATCAATGGTTAAAAAAATTTGGAACGTTACAAGATAGTTAAAAAAAATTTTTTAATGATGTTTAGCCGTTAATAAATAACTATTCATAAAAGGGCTTAGCATTTGTCAATATCTTTTCGATTAAAGTACCATCACTTTTATTAATGACATTTTTATCCAAGATGATTTCAATAATTTTTATAATGTTCATAATTGTGAAAATGAAAATATGTAAAACGATAATTAAACATTAAGCTTCATGAAAAATGGGTTAAACATGGTGAATTTATGACTTGACTGCTTCAGTTGCCACTATTTAAATCCATTTTGTTTGGGGGTCATTTAAAAATTATTTTTAACTTTTAAAATGCATTTAAAATCCGCTAAAGTGTATGCTGAATTGAACAGAGGACATGTTGAATATATACCGCAAACATAATATAGTAATAAAAACGTAATGCTGAAATTAATGATTTTTTAATCCACTTTTATTAATACTCTTTTACTAATCTTAATGGAAATTACATGCTTCTAAAAATGGTTTTCAATTTTTATAGATACCCTGTTTACTAACATTGTTTTTAAGATAATACCATAAAGCACGTAATATAATGTTCTATACTTTTTCTTCTATTCTCCTCTTTTTTTCAAAACATTAATAGACATTTTACTGGTACAATAGTATAAAAATATATGAATCCAAACATATTACTTTATTAATATAAAAAATCTTATCCTTAAGTTTTATTGCCTTACACATTAAAGTTATTATTATATTAAAATTAATCTGAG